TTCGCGTGTCGTGAGAGATTCGGAGGCTCGAGCGAAATTTCGGCCCTGCGAGCAAGCACAGGCCACGAAAGCTCGTGTTCGTTGGTTCAACTAATTCGGACATGTAAATACAATATTGGCTGGTCGCCTTGGTCCCTCGGGATTCCAACGACCCTGCTACACTGGTCGACCCATTTTCCATCCTCTGTCTTCGACCGATCCTTTTCATCGATAATGTTGTATCGAGTAGCGTGTCGCTACCGAAGCTACAATGGCTCGGGAAAATATTTGAACACTTACTAGCAGAAATATTTTATGTATACGCTGTGCGTGTGTATATGTTGCTCTCTTTTTTTCTTTTTTGATAGTTTCATTAATTTTTTGTAGACACTTGTTGATATAGTAATATAATATAATATAATATAACAGAATATAACAGAATATAACAGAATATAACAGAATATAACATAATATAACATAATATCACAGAATATGACATAATATAACATAACAATATAATATAATATAATATAACATAATATAATATAATACAACAACATAATATAACATAATATAACAACATAATATAACATAATATAATATAATACAACAACATAATATAACATAATATAACAACATAATATAGCATAATATAACATAACATTATGTAACATAATATAGCATCATATTATATAACATAATATAACAACATAATATAATATAATATAATATAATATAATAGTATACACACATGTAAATAGTTGAAATTGTGTATCATTGGTTTAAAATACTTATTCTAATAATTTTTTTCTTATGCTCGTTGAAATAATTCACCTTGACGAATGGCAAATAGAATTGAATATTTATTACGCAAAATTTTTATGCGAAATCTTTAAAATTCAGCACATTTTATATTTATAATATGTATTATAATGCTTCTAAAATATTTTAATATTGTCTTTACTTATTCAAATGGTACACGAATGGTAAATAAAATTGGGAAATTTTTGTATTTATTACGGATAATATTGATCAGAATCCCTAAAGTTCAGTACATTTTATATTTATAATATTTTACAATACTTTAATATTTTAATACTGCTTATCATTGAATGTCAAAGAGTTTTCGTTCAATAAATGAAATAATAAATCAAAATCACGAAAGTGTTCGAATGTTTGCAAAATATTTTTAAATATTTTTGATTGATTCATTATATTCTAATATACTGCAGCTCTCAACTGAACAGAATAACTCTTTGAAAGGGAAGGTTTCCACATCCGTGAAATCGTTGTTTCTTCAAACTTTCTAAAAATCGTTGTTTTCATTGCTGTACTTAAAACCGTACGCCGTAAACTATATTGTACGTACATGCAACCTATTCTATCTAAAACACTTCGCTTTAAGCTTCCACTTACCGCGCATTTAACGCTCTTGTACACGCACTCATCCGTACACACGTGCAAATGTACAACAGTTGCCGTAACTTGTTTTCAGAGTTTCAAGAATTCAGAGTATTCCGAAGGCATAGTGCAGCTCTACCACCTCGAAACCACTGTTTCCCCCACTGGTGAGCAACTCTGATTTACTTTTAATAATTTTAATAATCCTTCGACTATCTTCAATATTACCAACAATATTCCCGGAATATTATACATTAATTAGTTTACTAAAAGAATAATACAATTCTTGAGAAAATAAATTTCCCACCGTACAAGGTTCAATATTTCTTCGAATAGGGACGTTATTAATTACAAACAGAATATTATTAATTATAGCAACTTTTCTAATATACTATATATACGTATACACTTACTCAAATATCGTTTTATTCTTGTTTTGTTCACTGTTTATAGTGAACATTAGATAATTTTAAATTGAATTCTCAAGTATTTTATAACGCAATTTATACTAACATTTTATAGATTCTCTGCTGTATGAAGTATCATTTCAGTTTTGTTAATATCTTGTTAATGATGTTACATTTGCCACGGCAATATTATCAAAGTGATTCATACAACAAAATCTAAGTTAAATAAATGAAATTAAGCAGCTACAAACTTTTAACTTGAAGTTACCTTTTCGTCAATATTATTGAACAAAAAAGTGAGAGCAATAATAGCACTTCATACGCCGCAAAGAAATATTAACACAAGTAACTACATGTGAGTAAGACAATGAATAATCGTAATTACTTACCGTGTATCATCAAATCTTCGTCGCAATGATGGTAGACAAATACTGTTCTTTTTTCCCCCCCAAGCTTCGTGGATTTCGAGATATTTAATACCACACGCAATTAAGCAACGGAAACGAATTTTACAACGCAGGAGAAATGTCGCGATAATACGAAGAACATGAACCGTGTCGTGAGACTAACGTTGACCGTGCCGTAGTACGACAGTGACTAAGAATACAAGATTGTTTGTCGTGATATTTCACAGCCTTTTTGTTTATAGTTCCCGTTTTTGTATCGCGCCTCGCACGTTGAAGGGAAGATAAACAAAGCTGATATTGTACTGCTTTGAAATATCCCCGTATAATACACGGATATCATTTCGTGGGTAATAACGATTAGACGTTTCGAAATATACACGAATCTCTGAATGGTATCATGTATAACAATATAATTTTTAATATTTCATCTCGTGTACCTTGTACTCTCTCTAATGAAGACTAGTGATGAAATGAAATTGCCAAAGTTGCAATAACTCTGATGATTCAGTTCCATGTCAAGAAAATAGAAATTCAATCCCTCGGATGAAAGGAATTTTTACATAAATCGAAATACTATAAAGAAAGATAGATGTTAAGAATCTGAATTTACCATGTGGCGGCTGCGAAACTTCAGTATTTCAAGATAATTCGTTGAGATTTCGAAAGGAACGATCGTGCTAATTTGGTACAAAATTTTGGAATATTAGCGTATGCTTTCAAATTATCTTCAATATTCCCGAGATAAAACGCTATAATACATACATGACACGTCCGTCGTCCGACAATTAGTATAATGGAACTTCTATTACGCCGCGTGAATATCGTAAATTGTTGACTTAAACGTGATGAATATTCGGCCGCGTGTCGG